CACAACACATAAAAAGTAAAAAGGTAAAAGGACAAGTTGCCAATTAACGTCAGATAAATCGTTGTGTCACAGGGTAAAAGACTGGCAAAACAATAACGACAGCAAAAACAAATTACAAAACAATAACCAAATAGAGTCAGGTCTTGATTAATATGACTAGTTTCCTTTAAAGTACACATGCAGCGTCGAATTTGCTTTTGTGACCTGTAATATGAACACTAGCAGATTCGCAAACATGGCTAGATACCACATGCTTTTGAAGTCAAGGGGGAATTGTTTGTAAACAGCGATTTAGAACTGCATGCTCGGTTAAAACAAGTGATTTTACGGGAGGGGTGTGCAAAACACCAGAAATCAAACTGTACAATATTTAAAACTATGAGCTGGAAGTGTGTTCCCAAGTAAACCTAATAAAACAATATTTCCATGGTTTACAGATATAAAAATCAACATTCTGATGCAATTCATCTACAGTTGTAAATCTTAAACAAGCCAAATCTGTGTGATGAACTTGTCTCACTTTAATGGATTGAACTTTCAATCCTAGGATGAAAGTTTAAAAGTTGGTTAGACAACATTAAAGACCTTGGTCGAGCAGCACGTAAAAGGCTTAAAACATTCACGGATATATTTATATCTGTATGAAGGATAAACTTGTGTTGTTGCCAGATTATATAAAATTATGCCCTGAGAAAGAAAGAGAAAGAATATTCCTTATTGGTTATCTGTCAAAACAAAGAATAAAACAAACTATGATATCAGTGCTAGAATAATCTAAATCTAACAATGAAGACTGGCCAAGTTTAAATAAGAACAGCATTGTTAAATAAACCATTCCCTAAAATTATATAACAGACTTACTTTCAGCTACAAATAATTCATTTGAGAAATGAGTCTCAAAGGATATGGTCGGGTATAAGCCGTTCTTTATTAGTAGAAATGAAGGTTAATAGATATGTTTAGTTTTTTTTTAAATGTGATATTATCCATCACATAACAATACCATATTAAAAACATCGTAAAATTGATACAAGAAACAAAGACGAAGATTGCCGGATAGCGATTTATACCAGCTCATTTACAGAAAAAGTTATCTTAATTGTGATAAAAATTACACATCGTTTTATGTGAATGTTAATAAAAACACGTAATAAAAGTCTTCACATGACGTTAGTACTGGTAATATTTATTCTTCACAAGCGATTGTGATTATCTCTATCAGCTGCAACAAAATGGCAACAGTGAAATATAATAAGCTTTCACAGTGAATCACAAATCAATCTATTGTTTTAGGAAATTATATATTTAACAAATTAGTAATATCTTTCCTGAACAAAACACAAAAAAAATATAAATAATATCAAATAGCTTATGTTCATCATTTTCACAGTTACTTAAGAAATGTTATTCAATCAAATTCATTTTAATTTATACAAAAGTAAATAATAAATAAACTATAAAACAATTCAAATACACTGATAAAAATGTATACATAGAAAAAATCGAACTTAACATTTAAGGTTCTACAAACTGCAAATCTTTTTTTAAAAAGTATTGTCGTAAAAGTCTGTTTAATTCAAGGTATTCTGTGCTTATACTGTGCTACCATTTGATATTTGCAAATACTGACAATTTAGAATTTGTACAGTCTCTTTTTATTGAAAATAAAATATATTGAGCACGAACAGAGAAGACATGTTACGTTGACTATATGTAAATACAGTATAAAAACATAGGGTCATTAAAAATGTGACATTTTTATGTACCAAATTAACATGGCCAGATATAAGAAGTTTAAAGAAATGAAATAAGATATTAAAGAAAGTTAGAATATCTAAATGTCAATAAATTTCTGAAATACAAGTATTAAATCAAAGATGAGCATAGAACAGTATTTTTCTTAATCACGTGTTTGCTTTGATAACAATTTGTTCTGACAAAATATCACACTGTCATCATAAAATCCTTGAAATAAAAGATGAATACCCTTCATGACATTATTATAAAAAACTATAAGTTGAGATATATAACAGCATATAAAAGAAATTTAAATGTGTCAATGTAGTAATTTGCAAAATTTTCAAAACCTTTTAATGCTCATCAGCATAACTTGATCTATATGAACAAACTCGCTAAATTGTTATTGATATTTACGGTGAAGTCTTTAAGGACTCCAATTGATTGACCATCCTGAATATGTTATTTCGTCTAAACAACAAGAAGAAGGATAAACATATCAAAATAAACTATGATATCGATTTCAAATTATTTTCCCCTAAAAACAAGCATTAGTATCATTTTATATTATATTAAAGGAAGGCTTTCCTTTTTTTTCTTCAGTTATTTATTTGCTCATATCTTATCAATGACGCGCTAAATGACGCCTATTACTTTTGGTTCAATGCTAAAATCAGATTGTTGAAATTAAATGGTAAACAAATTGGCAGACAAACCCGTTTAGTTTATATGACATATTTTCAGGAAATAAGTTAATTATGCAACTATTTGTTTGCAATAGGATATCTGCAGCATGTAACGTTAACATGTAGTATTTATAACATGTTTTTACAGTGACAGTACATCAAAATAAAATTAGATATTAACTGCCGTCTAGGTGTTTATTGTTTAAAAATGAATTCACAGAATTTTAACCGTTAGGGATTCATAGCTAATGCGCAATGCATTAAACAAACAGAATTTGAAAATTGTAAATTTATCAAGTCATTAAATAAATATGTATTTATTTATTAATTTAGATTTTACGGCGATCCGACATAGAAAGGTCTGACATCGCCTGTGTAGAATAGCATTTATTTACGAGAAAAAATTTACTTTATTATATATTAGAATTCCACTTTATTTATTATATTAGAATTAACAACTCATGTACCTTGTTTACCGAATAATAATTTACCGAAAATGCAGGGTGAGACAGTTTCATTATATATAATCACGCATATACATGTTTGTAATATCTATATAAATAAAAGTTAAATAAGGAACGAAATTGTAACTTTCTTTTGCTCACTAATCTATAATTGCTTGTCTTTATGATAAGATTACACACATAAGAATTTTATCATAAACCAGTTTACGATAGAACAATACTTAATTTACTGTCTACAGTATGTATGAATTTAATGTTTGTGCAATATAAATTGGCTGTTTCAGAAAACAGAATAAAATATAAGATAAAACAGTATTAAGTGACGACAGTCGACTCACCAATTGCAAAAAAGATTCGTTTATCTTAAAAATGATTTATGTTGTTAATCAACGTATCTCCTGCCATGATATTTATACATATATTCTTTCGAAAATATATTGTTATCCGTGCTTTTGAATTCAAATAGATGCTGATTTTATTCGTTCACAAATGGCCTGTATATAAATCATATTCATGATCTATACCGTATAGGGGGTACAGTAACGTTTATTTTGACAGGAACGTATTCAAGCGCTCAAACATTTTAGATGATAAATCGCAGTGATAATATATTTGGTATCATGGTCGTCCGAATAAAATAAAAGACTGTTGTACATAATAACATAACAGAATATTTAATTGAAAAAAAAACCCAACTCTAAACCATATCAACCTACTGCATATTGTACAAAGTATGTAGACTAGTATCTCTTTCCCAAAAGATATAAAAAATGAACATCTTTTGGTAAATTTGAGTATTTCTAAAATGTGCAGTTTAAACTGGCACTTTTAGCTCGTCTGTTTCTGTGAAAATATCGAGCTGTTATGATCCCTGTGTCAGTCGTCGTACCAAAACTTTAATATTCTCAAACACTTTTAAAAGTATCAATACGATACTTTGAGTACTTAATAATCTTGACATGATAAGGATAAGGAGAATAGTTCTGAAAGCATTATTTTAATTTAAGCCCACTTTTAAGATAGATTGTTTGTTAAAATTGTCAATGAAGTAGAATGATTTCAAAACTACAAAATGGTACAGTTATAAGACCAAGGACCGTTTTTTGAAAGAAACCCGTTTTTAGGGCTTTTGCCATATTACTATATTTTGCCTTTAATGCCTTATTAAAATCTTTTAAATACCGTACTTATTCTAAATTAAAAAAATTGTCCCACATTTCCCTGCTTTTCTAATACAGCGTAGTGTATTATTTGTTCCAATAATGACACCCATTGTTTAAAAAATACATGCTTTTTATTTATTTTGATGAGTGTAATGTAAAGTAGCCAATAGTCAGTCCTTCTTTAACTTGATTTCTAAACAAAGTTTGAGTTAAACAGGCATAGGATTACAAACAAATAATATATAACAAAATGTTACATCAAGATTAAATATAACCATTTGTTTTTAACAGTACAATTATCATCATCATCGTCATTTTCATCATTATCATCATTTTCATTATTACTATTATTATTATTATTTTCATTATTATTATTATTTGTTTTACTATTTGTATTTTTTAATTTATGTAGCACCCAAGATAGTCATTAGAATAACTGTGTGTTTAAATCTTATAATCTATAAAAAAAAATGTTTCAAAATGGCAATTTTTCGATATCATTTCAACACATCTCCCAGATGTTAAATTTTGAAATAAAGTAGACATTATCATTTATCAGTACTTGTTTTACGTTTATAGTTGGGAAAAATATGGAATCGAATTTACACAATTAATAACTCATTTTGTACTAACTTCTTTTAATCAGTTTTAGTTTTAGGCAAATAGAGTCATGGGATTTTAGCTACAAGTTTCAACATTATATTTTGAATTAATTTGTCGGCAAAAATGTAATGCTACAATTTCAATTTCACGCAGGTACTTTAAATAAATTAGATTTACACAACCAGTCAATCTTGACATTTAAGTACATAAAAGTAGTCGATGTTAATTGCTAATCATATGAAAATTTTGCAAAAGGAAAATCCCTCGAGAGCTGTGAAAACAAAATAAACAGTTGAAGACTTCAATATTAGATCTCATTTTCATGAAATGTATATATATGTTTTGTTTTGCTATAAACATTGTAATAATGTTTTATTCGCAATAAAGTTATTTGTATTGTAATATTAGAAACGATTGGAGGCTAATATTGAATTCAATTTGTAGATGAGTAACATGCAATTATTTTCAATAGTCCATGCAGAACAAAGTGTATACACATAATCTTATTAATTTTCGAAAACAATAAAAGTTTTTATTCACACCCGAACGAATTTTTGCGTGGGTAGTAGTTACTAATCGACCTTTAAAATTCCTATAAATAAGACACGTTAGATTATTGGCTATATAGACACAGAACCAACATCATGGGGCGAGTGACATTGTGATGGGAATTAAGGCAACACCGTTATCATATAAGACGTAAAAGCTGTACAGTTATTGGTTATTTATTGGAGAAATCTACTTAGGTAAGTTGAGTTGTTTTATCATATAATTTTGTCTGTAGGGTAAATAATTATAATTTGAAAAAAAAATCATGTCATTAATTAAATAAATAAACTAGCATTGAACCAATATAAATGATATTTTATTAAATTATTACGGGTTAAGAAAAATATAATGTTTTCTTTAAAATAATTTTTTTTCTTTGCGTTTGTAATCTTTAGGTTTGTAATATTAAAGTATACCTGGTTAAATTTAATATCTTACATCATAAAAAGATGTGTGTGCATTTTTTAAAATAAAAGTGCAAATGAGGGGAAAAACATTTAAAAATATATCAATAATTTTTTGAAGATAAAAATACAGCTTTAACAATCTTTCCTGTAATAACTGATTTCTATGGTAACTGATTTTACGAAACAAAGATTAAACGTAGAATCTTATAAATTTCAATAAAATGCGTATCATTTTAAATTGGTTAGCACTGATATTTTTGAGGGAAATGTTTTGTTGATTTTCCATAAAATTATAAAAGGTTGTCACTTAAATGTTGCCCTTGTCTGGACAATTAACTTTCAACACAAAGCACAGTTACATTTTACAATAAGCGTTATTTAAAGTGGTCTTTCATGAATAAAATATCATTTCAGATGTTAAATATACCTGCCTGCCTGTTATTTATTTTCTTTTTCTTTGTTTGAAAAACCAAGTGTTGTTACAGGCTTTAAAAGAAAGAATTATTATGCAGTTGTTTTAAAATTGATAATGACATTTTCCAGAAATATCTGCAATGATATTGTTTAAAAGTTGATTTGTCGACCCTTGGGTACTCAGTTACATTGTAGAATATTGTAGAATGATTTATGATGATAATTATTAGTGTTATTTAGATTTTCCTGAACATAGTGTATTGTATTTTGTGATCTATCTCCAATAAATTACACGTGTCATACTTTAACCTCTTTTTTGAGCAAATTACGTTTGAACATAATTGATTATTATGTGTTTAAATTCGTACTATTCATTAATAACTTTCTTTTATTCGAATATATATGTAAAAAACAAGTTAAACATCAATGTTATTATATTCTAGACTGATATGTTTTCATGTCAACAATTTATTTTTGCAATTTAAAGATTCAAAATTAACAATAGGTTTCCACATATTATCATAACGTTCGAACGGAAAGTTTTGATTAAGATTCAAACGAGTTGTTAACTATTTACCCTAAATTTTATGCTTACATTTACTTGCACTCCTTTAATCTTTAGATAATATTTGTAGTATATCCTATTTGATTAATTTTCCTCCACCTGTATCCTTCACAGTTTCATAACATTGCTTCATTGGTTACAATATGTTTTTTTCATAAATGCATAGGCTGTAACAACTTACATGAAATTAAATATAATTATATATGTTGCATAATTAAAAGGTGCAACTCGTATCCCTTTATTTTGTTTGTTAGCAACATTTCTGATTCTAGTGATATACCGTATACTATGTCACTATTTTAAGTATGTTTTTTTCTACTAAATACATCTTATAAATCCAACTTTATAATTATTTTACTTTTCGTAAGTTATGACTGTTTCTAAATTTTCCCGATTTTTTACCTCTTCTCCTTGAAATTCTTCGGTTCATTCTACATTATTATAACAATTGTGATTTGTCGACATCAAGACTCAGGAAGATATTCATCAGATTTACTCGATAACAGGAGCTACAAATTAAATCAATTGTGTCTAAGTTTCAATTAGAGATAATTAATCAAAGAGTTGTAACCTATCAACATCTTACAAACACAATCTTGTCTTTTTTCTCTGTAGGAATATCTATTACAAATACTGTACGTAAAGCCCTGTTATTTCCAAGCAAAATTGTTCCAAAACAAGACATGACACTAATAGCTGGTTTCTTGGTACACTATTTCATATATATAGAATTTTTGTACTACTAGAGATGAATGATTAAGTACCAGCAATGTTAATATTGCATGTTTATTCATTTCTCTCTTATTTTTCATACATGAGAGTACGAGATTAAAAGACTTTAATGAAAAGACATTTTCCTCTAAATTTCTGACAGCTGAGGAACTACATGTTATCAAAATACGCTGCATTTTTTGAAAATTTTAGAATTGCTGCAAGGTAAATGAAATGAGGCTTTTTTCATCAATTATTTTTTTATGATTCCCTAAGGCATAATTTGATAATTATAGACCGGGTTACAGAATGAATTTCTTTCGAGAAGCATAGTCTAGTCCGTTTTTCTTATGTCAAAATCATATTTTTGAAAAAGAACTTTTAAATGCTTATTATAAATCAACATAGAAAGGAACTAAAATAATAAAAGCAATCTGTATTAATGAACAAGTGTGACCAAAAAGTGAAAATAATATAACGTTGTATTCAAATTTTTGAGAAAAAAAATGCCTAATGATGTTACATCACATGTATTAATGTTTTAATCATTCATTGCAAGATCTATATTGATTACTGTAAAAATTGTCCAGCTAAATTTATAATGAGAGAATGTTATGTTTCGCAATATAAATGAAATTGCAGTAAAATAATGATTTGATACAATAAAAGATAACAAGTCTTTTCTAAATATATCAAAGTTTAGTTAAGAACTATAAAAGCTATGACACAATCAAAACTCTTAAACTAGAAAACAAAGTGCATGAGCGGTGTATATATATATATATAATAACATATATGAATATAATTTCCTTTATTTAAAGAATGAGCTAAATTAAATAAATGTATCAATATTTTCACTTTTCTTTTGATGGTTTTTGAAAAGAAATAAGATTGAATTTTGTCAAACGTTAATTAAATTTACAACAATTAATTCAAGTTTTGCATGCTCAGTAAAGTCAGTTTTGTTATCAAGAGATTTCTAGCCTAAAATTCAACTGTAAATAAATGTCATGGTTCCTACTGGTTGCTCTGAGAATAAAGCTTTCTGTTCAAAACATGGCTATTTTAATCTTATTGACTATACATTTATTTATTTATTTATGTTGTTGTTGTTATTATTGTTAACTATCCACACGATATCAATCAATCCAGGTATGTTATTGTTTTTTTCACCGGAAATTAAAGACATTCGTTTAACATTTTTATAGGTTTTATTGTTTTGTTTTGTTTTCATTTTTTATCATTGGCGAATCTAAGTCGGAAGAGAGATATATTGGTGAAATATATGTGACATAATCGGTGTTGATTAAAAGGTAATAGAAACCGTTTACGACTAATTAACCAAAAAACTGATTAATACCTCGCAACAGAAAAAAACTTACTGTTTATTATTTAACATATTTTATTTACATATTTACAATTGTATCTTAGTTTTATACATACTGCTCAATTGTAGACATCTGCAAATTTTATATCAGTTGATTTAACAACAACAGATGCTATTTAAATTTTTTGTTTTGTTTATGAAAATCGACCTTAGCCACTGAACTATTCGCCTGACTGTCGAAAGAAAAAAACTTAAATATTGCACATTGTTGAAACGAATGACATATTTCAGTTTTTAAAATAGAATGAAAGCAAACGACAAATATAAAATATTTTAAAAAAACACTGCATCTGTTCAGTTGGAAAGTGCTTGTTCAGGGAAGTATTGTTAGTGTTTATTTTTTAAAAGAAAGTTATGAGGAAACACGGTATCAAAAATTAAAATACAAAATTTTTGTATTAGCTTACAAACGTTTAAGACATACATATTTACCTTGATGGTGTCTCTAAAAAATAAATCATCTATTTTCTTAAGGTTTTAGAAGATTATTTTAGTACTGATATTAGTACATATATATATATATATATATATATATATATATATATATATATATATATATATATATATATATATATATATATATATATATATATATATATATATATATATATATATATATAAAACATTTCCTAGCTCTATTTCAGAAAACAACATTCGGGATTGTCATAAAATTAATGACCAAGTTTTTGGCATACACGTTTGGTCTCCACACATTAATCATTTGTATTTTTGATTTTATCTAGTATTTTTTAAAGTTGTATAATGATAGTCTCCTATAAATCTGCGATAGATTGGCCATGCTTTTTATATATGTATTTTATAAATGTTTTGTACTATGTAAATATGCATGGATGAGACGTAAATAAACAAATAAACTGCTTTCTAAAAATGTTAATAAGCCCTTTGATACTGACAACAGCTACGGATCTCAGAAGTAACTTGCTTAAGCTTTCATTTGTGATGCTTAAATAAAACTGTAAATATTTTGGGTATTTTAAATTTAGAATTGTCAAATAATGTTTGTTATGAAATGTTCGAAACAGATTTTTTTTGTGAAATAGAAAGTGGTTTTCTTGACAGAAAAATTATAAGGGGAAACTTTAGCCTGCTTTAAAATTGCGTTTTCCTATTTCCACTGAACATCAAAGATATTGTCCCTCTATTAATCGTTGTTCATTTGCATCCAGACAACTATTTTACTGTCTTTAAGAGAATTTGAAATATCATCATTATCTTAAAAATGCGCACCGAAAGACGTTTAGGTTAGATAATGTATTTTTTAAGAGAAATCCATTGCCGTTTTGTATTGCATGACATTAAGATAACTAACAATTGCGTTTGCAGAGTTTTTAAGAATTATTATGAAAACAACTACATTATTGATGTTAAAATAGGAAGTCTATAGACTTAAAAGCTGTTAATATGCATAAAGAAGGAAAGAACATTGTTTCAGTTGACAACTGCAAATGGCTTATTTATGTATGATGATTAAATACTTCCGAGTTGCACTTATGACATGTAACATGATAAATAATGAGTGGTTTGGAGCTATTTTCTATTATGAATTTCAAAAGTGAAGATACACACATCTTGTTAAAGCTTTGAAGTTATAGGGCGTTTACTGTATTTTTCAATTATTTTTGCCAATGTTGACGAAAATACTTTTAATGTTTGATTTTTTTTGTAGATTCACGAAATACATATCAATCTAGA